GCGGCAGCAGAGCCGGGACAGTGCGGCCCTCGGCGAGCTGCTGGGGGGATCCCTGGCACAGCGGCTGAGCCGCATCGGCGAGGACGTGGGGCGCATCACCAAGAAGGTACGCGTGTGCCGGCCCGGAGGGCTGAGTGGGTTCCTAAGGCCAGGACAGCTGCTGAGGTGGCTTCGCCCTCCCCTCTAGAGCAAGGATCTGGGGGAGCAGTTGCAGGAGGACCTCCTGGAAGTGGTCTCGGAGCTGCAGGCAGTGAGTACAACCAGAGCACACGCACACAACGGTGGACTGTGGGCCGGGCTCTGTGGAGGGGCGAGGCTCAGGCAACCCGATCCACCACAGGCCAGGAAGACATACCAGGTGTACCGCGCAGAGAGCGCCAGTGCAGAGCTCAAGCTCCGGGAAGCAGAGCGGCAGGAGGAGAAGAGGGTGGGCCGGAGCGCCCCCACCACGACCGCCACCATCACCGGCCCCACCAGCACCACTGAGGCTGGGCCACTGCGCAAGAGCTCGGTCAAGAAGGGGGGGCGGCTGGTGGAGAAGGTGGGCCTGCTGCACGTCCCCGAGCCAGGACAATGCCACTGGATGCGGGGGTTACATCCAGGGGGCTCCAGGGGCTAAGAGACAGAAGGGGGAGAGTTGTGGGGCCCAGGATGGCCTCATGCTGTCTCCCCCATGCTCCAAGCTGGTGGTACCTCAGGAGGAAAGGTTGAGGGACTCGTGAGGAAGAAGGGCAGTCAGAATGGCCCTGAAGAGAGGATGAAGGGAGGAGTGTTGGACGTGGGAGCACACACCTGTCATCCCAGCCCTCGGGAGGCTGAGGCAGGAGGATTGCTATGAGTTCAGGGCCAGCCTGGACTGCATAGTGAGACTCTGTCTCAAAAAAACCAAAGAAAGAATGGAGAGGGGAGGCAACCCAGGCTGGAAGCAGCAGTTAGGGTTCTACCCAGGCTGCAGAGTCTTCCCACCTGGTCCCTGCCTCCATCGAGGGGTGCACATGTACCTTTTGTCAAATAGCTAGTTTTGTGTCGCCTCCTCCGCCAAGGGAAGGGTATCCAGTGGCAGGTGTCCAGTCCAGGTTACGGGGGCCGGCAGGTGGGGGAGGGCAGCACCAGGACTTGGGGCCCATGTGGAGTTGGATGGGCCTGTGGGACGTCACCATGGGGTGGGGTCACCTGCCGGTGAGTGGTGACCCCAGCGGCCTGGGTGTCCTGAGCAGCGCCAGGCCAAGTTCCTGGAGCACAGACTCAAGTGCACCAAGGCGCGCAATGAGTACCTGCTCAGCCTGGCCAGTGTCAATGCGGCGGTCAGCAACTACTACCTGCGCGATGCCCTGGACCTCATAGACGTGAGTCGGTGGGGCCCGGCTAGGCTGGGGGCGCGCAACGCACGCCCACTGAGCCTCTGCGCTTCTTGTCCCCAGTGCTGCGACACCGGCTTCCACCTGGCCCTGGGGCAGGCGCTGCGGAGCTTTACGGCTGCTGAGAGCCGCAGCCAGGCCTCCCACATGCAGGGCCTGGGCAGCTTGGAGGAGGCGCTGGAGGCCCTGGACCCTCCAGGGGACAAGACCAAGGTGCTCGAGGTGCATGCGGCAGCCTTCTGCCCCCCCCTGCGCTTTGACTTCCAGCCCCATGAGGGCGATGAGGTGAGGGTCACACCCCCCGCCTTTGCTCCGTCCCCACCCTGCAGGCCCCAGACACTCCCACTTTCATTGTGGCCAAGCACAGGGTGTTAGCTGTTGGCCCAGGCTGGGGGTGGGGTGGTGAGGTGGTGGGGGTGGTGTTTCACCACAAGTTTGAGGCCAGCCTGGGCTCCGTGGCAAGACTATATCTCAAAAAACTCCCAAAACAAAAGAAAAACAGAAAGATTTTCCTATACCAACCTGGGAGGAGAGAAACCATTGAGCAGTGATTTTTAATTAGGCACCCTTGTTCTTGTGTCCTGAGCTCTCCCCACCTCACTGTAAATGCTACAGGAGTCTGTGTCCTGCTGCTCTCTCCCACCTGCCGCTGGGCAGCCAGGTACCTGTCTGCCTAGAATCTGTGTCCTGAGCTTCATTTCCATTTCACTTTCTTTCAGGAATCCTTGTTGTTAGATACTGGTCCTTGTGGTTGACTAATTTCCTTCTTCCCATTTCCCTTCTCCACGCCTTTCCATTCTGCTTTCTCAAAGATTTGTTTAATGATCTCTCCCAACCCCATGTGAAGTTAAACACAAATTAGAGCCAGATAGGCTGTGCGCACCTGCCATCCCAGCACTCAGAAGGCTGAGGCAGGAGAATCCCAAGCTTAAGGGTAGCCTGGGCAACTTAGCGAGACCCTGCCTTAAAAGAAAATTGGAGAAAGGACTGGAGTGTAGTTCGGTGGTGCTGTACTTCTCTAGCATGCACAAGCCCCAGGTTCCATCCACAGCACCACACAACAATGACAGAAAACCAAGGTCCAGGGACGAGGTTCTTGCTTTCATATGGCATCAGATGTGCCAGGAGTGTGGACTCGTTTCTGTCCCCTCATGGTCCCGGAGTGGCCTCATCCAACTCTGAACTAAAGGGACCGGGCCAGCCCCAGTGTCAGCTGTGACGAGTGTCCCCGAGCCTGTCCCTGGTGGTGGGTCCTTCCTGGAGAGGAGTGGCCAGTCTTGTGCTGACTGTGTGGGCTTAGGGAGAGCCAGTGCCAATACTCCCTTGGGTTTAGGGAGGCCTTACTGGAAAGATAAGATAAGCAGGTATGATGGCAACTGTGAGTTCCAGCCCAGCCTGGACTACATAAGGAGACCCTGTCTCAAACAAAAACCAAGGCAAAGCAAAGCGAAGCAAATAATCAAATTTAAAAACCCCACTCAAGGGCTGGGGATTTAGCTCAGTGATTCTGCCGCCTGCCTTGCAAGTGGAAGGTCCCAAGTTTGATCCCCTGTACCAAAAAAAAAAAAAAAAAAAAAGCAAAACCCAACTCAAATAAAGACAGGTTAAGTTTACCATGCCAACCGCTTTCAGGTACACATTCAGTGGCACTGAGCACAGTGATGGTGCTGTACGTCCATCACCACCATCCCTGTCTGGAACACTGAAGTCCCCACGCCTCTCCCCCACCCTCCACCACCATGACGGCCTGTGGCACCCTCACAGAAGGGCCCTTGTAGACGTGCATTAGACAGAATTTGTCCTTCACACCTTGGGTCATCCATGTTATAGGCTGAGTCAGGACTCTCTCTTCTCTCCTGCTGTCTCCCATCACTTAGGCTGAGGCTTGGGAAAGAGAGACGGGGAGCGCCCAGCTTCTTGCAGATAAGCTGCATCTTCACTTCTTTTTTTAATTTGGAGTTTTGTGGGTTTTTTTTTTTTTTGACAGGATCTTGCTGTGTAGCACAGGTTGGCCTTGAAGTAGGGAGCCCAGGCTGGCCTGGAACTCACAGTGGTCCTCCTGCCTCGGCCTCCCGAGGGCTGGGATAACGGGTGCGCCACCATGCCTAGCTATCTCTCAGTTTTCTCACTGTAATGCCAGAGTTTTCTGGATGTTCAGATGATTACATGTCTTTTTGGCACTGGTTGTCACCCCAACCCACATTCATGACTCATCCAGGTACAGGAAGGGAGTTGCTGGCTTCCTGAAGTGCTCTCTTCTGTAGCCTGTGCACCCACAGGGTAGGCGACTGTCGCTCTGCCCTCTGTATCCCCCAGAGCCTTTCTTCTGTCTCAGGCCCAGCTCCCCTGGCCACTTGGTAATAGACAACTAATTGAGGTGTAACATATACAATCAATCCATAAAAATATATAATCGAAGCTGAACTTAGTCGCAATAGCTGTCATCCCAGCACTCTGGGAGGCTGAGGCAGGAAGATGGCAGGTTGGAGCCCAGACTGGGCATTGTAGCGACTCAGTGAGACCCTGCCCCACAATAAGAAAAAGGCAGGGGATGGAGCTCAGTGCAGAGGCCCTGGGTTCAGTCCCCAGTACAATTCAACGGTCTTGGTATATTCACAAATATTGTAAGCGTCACCCAGACAGGAGCCATCCCTGGCATCTGCTCCTGTGCCCGGATTGTTCCCCTTTGGGGGCTGAGTAATGTCCCATTGGGAGCATTGTCCCTGCAGGTGGCCGAGATCCAGCTGGAGCTGGAACTGCAGGATGAGATTGTGCCCAGGGCCCAGAACATCCGGAGCCGCCTGGACCGGCAGACCATCGAGACAGAAGAGGTGTGGAGGAGGGACTGGGCCAGGTGGGGACCAGGACCCAGAGCCTTGCCACCACCTCCCTGTGCCCCCCAGGTGAACAAGACACTGAAGGCGACGCTGCAGGCCCTGCTGGAGTTGGTGGCATCAGATGACAGGGATGTGCCTGACTCCTTCCAGGCCAGCCCGTCTACAGAGTCCCTCAAGTCCACGGGCTCGGACTCAGGTGGGCGGCAGGCGGGCCGGAAACGGGGCCAGCAGCAGGAGACTGAGATCTTCTACATCACGGTGGGCATGGTGGGCGTGGTGGGTGGCGGGCGGGCTGGGAGCACGGGAGCCACATCTGAAATTCAGGGCTCTTCTCGGGCTCCCCAGAAGCTACAGGAGTATCTGAGTGGACGCAGCATCCTCGCCAAGCTGCAGGCCAAGCACGAGAAGCTGCAGGAGGCCATAGGGCGAGGTGCGCCAACCCTCCCTGCCCCAGCAGGCCTTGTGTGTGGTGGGGACAGCCATGCGCCTCAGCCCCTCACTGGCCCCATGAGACAGGCCACCGACACTTTCTCCTCCCCAGGCAACAAGGAGCAGCAGGAGACGTCATGGTGAGCGCCCTGTCTCTCTTCCTGGGGCTCAGCTCTGTGCCCAGTGCGCTGGGGCCTCTGTGGAGCACAGAAAAACCCACAGCGAGACACCGTCTTGTCTTAAAACAAATAACCTGGAAGGGGTAGGCCTGGCCTGGCAGGTGTGGGGGACCCGCCATCCTCCATGCCCCATCCCTCGAGCCGGGTCCCTTTCCCCACAGGACCCAGTACTCACAGAGAAAACTCCAGAAGAGCCGCCACCCACGCCCCAGCTCGCAGTATAACCAGAGACTCTTTGGCGGCGACATGGAGAAGTTCATCCAGGTACTTGCGTGGCCCACCCTCCACAGTGTCCCTTCCATGCTTTCTCAGTTGTGGCCAAGCAGCCGCCTGACCCCATGTCCTCTGTCCCTGCTGGAGGTCAACTGTGCCCCCACCCCCCACTCTTCAGGCCTCTGCCCGGAGTCCTGCCCCAGGTCCCACTTCTGGCTTGTGTGTGTCTATGAGATCCTAGACAGTGAAATACAGAAAGCCAGAGAGATCCAAAAGCCTGGTGTTAGGGACACCCCTGTCATTCCAGCATTCAGAGGCGGGAAGGTCGAAAGTTCAAGCACTGTTGTCGGGCACCTTTGCAATGTCGTGAGACCCTGTCTCCAAATTCAAAAAGGGTAGGGATGTTACTCAGTGCAAAAGCCCTAGGTTCCATCCCCAGCTCCACAAAAGTACAGGAGGGGGGATCCAAAAAGAAAAAATGATCTTGTCATTTGCAACGATGTGATTCTGTACATAAAGCATTCAAAAGAATCAGACTCTAAATGAACGAATTTGAGTTTGCAATGTTACTTGACTCAAGGTCAGCTTCCGAATTTTGATTGCATTTTTACATTCCAGCAACAAACAATTTGCAAATAAAATGGAAGGCACTACCTAAAATAGCATCAGAAATACCAGACACTTAATGCCGGGTGTGGTGGCACATGCCTGTAGGCCTGTAGTTCCAGCACTCGGGAGGCTGAGGCAGGAGGATCACCGTGAGTTCCAGGTCAGCCTGGGCTCCACAGTGAGTTCAAGGCCAACCTGTACTACATAGTGAGACCCTGCTTCAAACTACCAACCAACCAAACAAAAAATGGCAAAGTGGCACCATTTGCATCCCCGTGAAGTGGCGCCCTGCCTGTCCCGTCCCTAGAGCTCCGGCCAACCTGTGCCCCTGGTGGTGGAGAGTTGTGTCCGCTTCATCAACCTCAATGGTAAGCCACTCCTCCCCTGGCGCCCCATCCTGGGGAGGGGACCTTGCCGCCCAGCCCCGTGTCCTCCGCAGGCCTCCAGCACGAGGGCATCTTCCGGGTGTCTGGTGCCCAGCCCCGGATCACGGAGATCCGAGACGCCTTTGAGAGAGGTGGGAATGGAGAGGCGGGAGGGTAGCGAGGGCCAGTGGGCTTGGCTGGCCCTCACCACCCGTCCTGTACCCACAGGGGAGGACCCTCTGGTTGAGGGCTGCACAGCCCATGACCTGGACTCGGTGGCCGGCGTGCTCAAGCTCTACTTCCGCAGCCTCACTCCCCCGCTCTTCCCAGAGGACTTGGTTATGGAGCTGCTGGCATCTGCGGGTGAGGGGGTGTGGAGCTGCTGGGGCAGGTGATGGTGGCGTGGGCCACACTCATGTGCGCGTGTGCATGCTCTCTCTCTGTCTCTGTCTCTGTCTCTCTTCCCCGTCTGTCCCTTTCTGTCTGTCTCTCTCTCCCTCGGGGATCCTGGCCGCAGAGACCGAGGCTGTGGCCGAGCGCGTGCAGCCCGTGGGCAGCCTGCTGGCGCGGCTCTCTGGCCCGGTGTTGGTGGTGCTGCGCTATCTCTTCACCTTCCTCAATCAGTGAGTGCTGTGGCGTGGGGGTGGGGGCAGGCGGGGGGCTTGGGTGTTCGAGGGAGTGCCACCCACCTGCCCTTGATGTGTCCCCTCAGCCTGGCCCAGTACAGTGATGAGAACATGATGGACCCCTACAACCTGGCCGTGTGCTTTGGGCCCACGCTGCTGCCTGTGCCCAGTGGGCAGGACCCAGTGGCCCTGCAGGGCCGCGTCAACCAGCTGGTGCAGACCCTCATCCTGCAGCCTGAGCAGGTCTTCCCTGCCCCAGCCACGCTGCCTGGCCCAGTCTATGAGAAGTGCATGGCGCCACCCGCCGCTGGCTGCCTGGGGTACGCTTCCTCTGCAGGGCTGCAGCTCCAGGGGCCTGGGGTCTGGGTGAGGAGGCGCCCTCACCCCATTCCTGCTCTCGCCTCAGGGACACACACTTGGACAGCCTCTCAGTGGGTGCTGAGCCGGAGCTGGAAGGCGCCACCTCGGCCCAGGAGGATGGTGAGGGCTGGCAGGGCTCCCCCTTGCCCCACTCCCGCTGCCCATGCTGCCCACCTGCACCCTCTCTCCTCTGCAGACCTGGAGGCGGTGGCCTGCTTTGGGTACACGGGCCGCACAGCACAGGAGCTGAGCTTCCAGCGCGGGGATGTGCTGAGGCTTCACACGCGCGCCTCGAGTGACTGGTGGCGTGGGGAGCATGGTGGCATCTGCGGGCTCATCCCACACAAGTACATCACGCTGCCCGAGGGGTGAGCGAGGCCATCCAGGCTCGGGGGTACACAAGGCCACCTCAAGGTGCTCAGCCCTGGGGTGCTGCTCCCCCTCAGGAGGGACCAGCCACCCAGGGGCGGCCCAGAGGTGACGGGATGAGACAGCTCCTGTTCCTCAGGCAGCAGGCAGGGCAGTCAGATGAGGGACACAGGAGGGATGGAGCCGGGCCTGACTGACCTCTGGCACAGGCTCAGAGGAGCTTGCAAGCCCTGGGGCCACCTTCTTTCCTTGGCCAGCCCTGGGGTGGGAGGAGCTGCTGCTGCCACAGCTTGGGAACTTCCCAGGGTCCCCATCAGAGTCACTGTCCCTGCCCTGCAGGCTGGAGCCAAGTACCCCATCTGAGACCATGGGCCCCACTGGCCACAGACGACCCTGCTTGGTGCCACCCTCCCTGGAGCGACATGTGGAGGTAGATAAGGTCAGGCATGGTCCCTGCGTCCCCTCACCAAGCCAGCTGTCCCCTTCTCTGGGGAGGCTACAGCCTGCTTTCCATGGCCGCGGCCCAGGGTTCCCACACCCAGGACAGGGGCACAGAGCAGGGATGAGTCCAGGCTCTAGGCTGGCACAGGGTGGTGAAAGTGAGGCTAAATGACAGGCAGTGACGTGGCAGGTGCTTGGCACACCAGGGAAGATGAGAGAGACAGATGGCAGAGAGGTGGGAGGGGAGACCGGCTGGGGGAGTGGTGAACGGCATGGCCTGGGGACTCCCTCTGCCCCTGTGGGGAGCGAAGCCTTGGGGATAGTTATGTAGTCTGAGAAAGAGCATGCTGGTGTCCCCAGTATAGCCCAGTGCCCTGGCCTAGAGACACAGGACTGGGAGCCTGGCATCCAAGCGCAGAGACCTGGGAGTCTCCAGCGTGCTGGTGGCCCTAGAGACCATGGATGGAGAGCATGGGATGGGGAGGCCCAGGGCCCAGCTAGCCAGACCCCACTTCAAGGCCACACCTAGGAACTGCTGTCCTCAGAAGAGGCACATGGACAGGAGGGACAGCAGGGCAGAGTGGGGCAGCGCCATGACCGACACCTCTATGCCTGTCCTTCCACCAGGCTGTGACACAGAACATGGACTCAGTGTTCAAGGAGCTCTTGGGAAAGGCCACCATGCGCCAGGCGACAGCCACTAGCCCTGGACCACACAGCCCAAAGCCCCCAGTCAGTGGCGGTGGCAGTGTGCCCGGCAGGAGCAAAGGCTTTGCCCGCGGGCCCGTGGGGCCAGCTTTCCCCTCTACTTTGCATCTGCAGGGCCCAGACTTGGCTCCCAAGCCACACTGAGGGAGGGGATCTGGGGGCTCTTCCCTTCTCCCCAGGGCCTGGCTCCACCTGGGGCTGGCCAGTGTCCGTGGGTGATGAGGACCTGTGCGACTCATAAAGCCCTGTGCACCATTTCCTGAGTGGCTGCTGTCTGTATCAGGTGCTGGCGGAGGCCAGGTGGGTCCCCTGCCAGGGGCTGTGCATCGGGAACTATGCCATTTGGGGAACTGCACCTCGGAGGCCTTGATGGCCTGCACTGTGGTCAGGGGCCTGGCACGCATGTGCTCTTTGTATGTGTGTGGTACCCTGCTCCAGGGACACACCTTGTGGTGTGGAAAATGAGCTGTGACTTTAATAAGGGATAGAGAGAAGAGAGGGTCTAGAGAGGTATAGACAGGGAGGTCCTCCCTGTCTGGCTCCTGCAAACCTCCGTGTCACCTGGGGGCATTTGCCCTTGTCACCTGCCACCCAAGACCCCGTCCGTCCCCACACCCTGCACGAAGGACCTGACCTAAGGGACCCCTCACAGTCTTGGAGCCCTGAGTCCTCCTTGTGCCGTTGGGGACAGTAAGGCTAAAGGGGGCTCGCCCAGGGCCACACCGTGTGGCAGTGACAAGCGCCTGGAGCCAGCCCCTGGAAGTCTGGCGCCCACCTGCTCCTCAGGAGGACGATTCCTTGGCCAGGGAGGAGCTGGCAGTGGCACAGGATTCATCTTGGGGCCCCAGGCCGTGTGGAGTGCGGCTCCGGGAGCAGCAGAGCAGGCCACGCAGCTCCGACGACACGCTGCTGCTGAAGGATGCATAGATCCAGGGGTTGGTGCAACTGTTGAGGCTGGCCAGCAGCATGAGCAGCACGAAGGGGGGCCCTGCAGGGTGGGACAGCCCCGCTGGGGTCATGGTGCCCACTGTGGATGGCCATGCCCAAGCAGCCCCCTCGGATGGCCGCACACACTTTCCTGAGGTGCCTCAGGGTCCCACGCTGCCCAGAGCTGCACGAGGAAAAAGGGTGCCCAGCAGAGCACGTAGACGATCACTATCACCAGTGTCATCCTCACGGTCTTGGCCATGGCTGCTGACACGCGCGCTCCTTCTCTGGCACTGCCCGACCTGTGCCCTCTGCGGCGCCCCCTCTTGGATGGCTCAGGCACCAGGCTGGCATGGATCTCTCGAAAGATGAGAACTTGACAGGCAGCGATGCCCAGGGCCGGTGCCACGAACACCATCAGGGTTATCCAGGTAACATAGGCACGGAGGCCCCAGGGCTCTGTGAAGCGCGCCCAGCAGTCGAAGACCCCACTGCCATCCCCCACGTCACGCTGGGCAAAGATGAATAGCTGCGGCAGGCTGAGAAGCAGTGAAAAGGCCCAGGCCACCAGCACTGGCCGGTTCCAGTGAGCCCCGCCCCTGTGGCGGTAGGCCAGCATGGGGCGGCAGATGGCGCGGTGACGGTCTAGCGTCATGGCTAGGATCATGTAGGAGGAGGCGTACATGCCCACCATCTGCAGGTACTTGACAGCCCGGCATAGGGCATCAGGCCCTCGGAAGCGGTCAGTGGCGTCCCAGGCCAGCTGGGGCAGCACTTGAAACAGAGCCACCGCCAGGTCAGCCAGGCACAAGTGGCCGATGAAGATGTGCATGGGCGCCCAGCGTCCATGCCGGCTCCGCCGGGCCAGGGCCCCCAGCACCAGGCCATTGCCCATGGCCACGGCCACAAAGACAGTAGAAAGCAGGGCCAGCTCGGCCCGGGCTAGCAGTGGGTCCCGGGCGTCTGGGGGCTGCTTCTGGCTGCTGTTGCTGGGCAGGGAGAGGGGCCCAGGCACCGCTGGGCAAGGGAGAGGCCAGGTTAGTGAGGGGGCCAGGCAGAGGGCCCCTGGCCCAAGCAGTCAATCTTGCCAACACCCTGACCCACTTCCGGCTCCCGGCAGTGGGGATCCTCTGAGGAAGCCCGGACTGGAGCAGGTGGAGGCTGCCCTTCCCTCCCCCCCGCGACAGCCCCCACAGGAGGGGACAGGGCCAGCCAGCTCATTGCACCTTACCGGAGGTGGTGGTCACCAAGAGCATGGCGGGGCAGTCACAGGTGTCCTCAGCGCCTGGTGACACAGCGTAGCCTCCCTTGAGGGTCTTGGCGCAGGGTGCAGGCCCCTGTCAGGATGTGCGTGTGGGACGGGGTCCAACCTGGGTCCAGTTCTGGGCAGAGTAGATGAAGGGGTTTGGGGACGTCCAGGTAGTACAGGGCACCTGGACTGGCCAGAGGTTGGGGACCAGGCAGGAGGGGCCAGGTGTGCACCCAGGCCCTAGAAGCTGCTTACCTGGCTGAGCTCCCGGCTCCTGGGCAGTGGGGCGGCAGTGTGAAGGTGGCCCAGGTGCCTGCTG